TCAGACTGGTTTCAGACTAGTTTCAGACTGGTTTCAGACTGGTTTCAGGCTAGTTTCAGACTGGTTTCAGACTGGTTTCAGACTGGTTTCAGACTGGTTTCAGACTAGTTTCAGACTGGTTTCAGACAGGTTTCAGACTGGTTTCAGACTGGTTTCAGACAGGTTTCAGACTGGTTTCAGACTGGTTTCAGACTGGTTTCAGACTGGTTTCAGACTGGTTTCAGACTGGTTTCAGACTGGTTTCAGACAGGTTTCAGACTGGTTTCAGACTGGTTTCAGACAGGTTTCAGAGTGGTTTCAGACTAGTTTCAGACTGGTTTCAGACTGGTTTCAGACTGGTTTCAGACTGGTTTCAGACAGGTTTCAGACTGGTTCCAGACTGGTTTCAGACTGGTTTCAGACTGGTTTCAGACAGGCTTCATGCTGGTTTCAGGCTGGTTTCAGACTGGTTTCAGGCTGGTTTCATGCTGGTTTCAGACTGGTTTCAGACTGGTTTCAGACTAGTTTCAGACTGGTTTCAGACTAGTTTCAGACTGGTTTCAGACTGGTTTCATGCTGGTATCAGACAGGTTTCAGACTGGTTTCAGACTAGTTTCAGACTGGTTTCAGACTGGTTTCAGACTAGTTTCAGACTGGTTTCAGACTGGTTTCAGACTGGTTTCAGACTGGTTTCAGACTGGTTTCAGACTGGTTTCAGACTGGTTTCAGACTGGTTTCAGACTGGTTTCAGACTGGTTTCAGACTGGTTTCAGACTGGTTTCAGACTGGTTTCAGACTGGTTTCAGACTGGTTTCAGACTGGTTTCAGACTGGTTTCAGACAGGTTTCAGACTGGTTTCAGACTGGTTTCAGACTGGTTTCAGACTGGTTTCAGACTGGTTTCAGACTGGTTTCAGACTGGTTTCAGACTGGTTTCAGACTGGTTTCAGACTGGTTTCAGACTGGTTTCAGACTGGTTTCAGGCTGGTTTCAGACTGGTTTCAGACTGGTTTCAGACTGGTTTCAAGCTGTGCTGACTGGGATGAATCTAGATGCAATAATCTCATGCTCCTCGGCGGTCTTCTTTCAGGCGACCGACAGCGAGAGTCTTCTGTCTCTCAGCGCCTCCTCTCCACCAGCCTCTCCTCCGTAAAGAAGCCGACTCTCGGCCACAAGCCGGTGTTCCTGCAGCCGATCAGCAGCTGCTCGGTGCCGCACGGCGAGGTCGCTCGTTTCCACGCCTGCGTCTCTGGCACGCCGCGGCCCGAGATCAGCTGGTTCCACAACGGGAGCCCGGTGCTGCCCACCAAGAACGTGGTGTTCCACTTCGACGAGGCCACGCACACCGCCATGCTCCTCATCGTGGACGCCTTCCCAGAACACGCCGGAGCGTACACCTGCAGCGCCGCAAACACCGCCGGGGAGGTCGTCTGCACCGCCACGCTCACCGTTACCACCGCACAAGAAGAAGAAGGTAACGGTGGGATGGATGCAGCCAGACTTCCTTTGTTAAATCAATCCACTTCCTGCAAGATTAACGCTCCTCCTCCAGTTCCTCCAACACTACCAGGGATGTCCTGAACACGTCTGCCAAATAAAGAGCGACTTAAATGTGTTTTAAATGATTAGATCCTTGTCGCATCAGAAAGCACATTATTGACTTTTATCTATTCAAGTTTCAAAGTCCCAGGCTCCTCCTTCAATGTAAATACAATATTATTAACAATAAGAAGAGACATCAAATAGTCCCCAAAATAGACATTAATAGAAAGACAGAATAGTGCAATCTAACAAATTCATTTCCTAAACCTATACCTCCTAGAAAGATCCTCTTCCTGTGAGATTAACGTTCCTCCAACACCTGCAGGGATGTCCTGAACACGTCTGCCAAATAAATACTTAAAAAGCGTCATACATATGTTTGAATCCTCCTGATTTGATCCTAGCATCAGAAACCACATTATTGACATCTATCTATTAAAGGTTCAAAGCTTTATTGTCATATAATAATAATAATAATAATGCATTTTATTTATATAGCGCTTATATACACAACAGCTGAAGTCCCAGGTTCCTCCATCAATGCAAAATACAATACATTAAGATAAAGAGACATCAAATAGTCTCTAAAATAGACATTCATTAATAGAAAGACATAATTGTGCAAGGTAACGAATGAACTTCCTACCCCTCCTCTAAAGATCCTCTTCCTGCGAGATGAATCTGCCCTCCTTATTGTCCACCATGAACTGAAGCACTCTGCAAAAATGTGTTTTTAAAAAGAGCTTAAAATATCCTTTAAATGCCCCTCCGATGATTTAAAAACACCTACGCCATGGTATCCCATCCGGTGTGAACAGCGATCTGTCGGGACATCCCTCCCCAGCTCTGACTAACCCACCGCCCTGACGGAGGTCTCATTGTGTGTTTGAATCCCGGGATGATCACCTCTCCACCTTCCTCCTCACTCCTCCTCTTCCTCCGTCCTCACTCCCTCTCCCGCTCAGGGAAACTGCATGAGACTCTTGATTATAACCTTCCTCCGTCCTGCAGGAAACCCTTCTGTATCCCCGTCCTGTGTTCCTGTCCGTAATACTCCACCGTGTTTCTTACAGTGTTTGATTTCTCACTTTGCCCAAAAACATGCAGGTTAAAACTAGGGCTGCTCGATTATGGCAAAAATCATAATCTCGATTATTTGGGTCAATAATTGTAATTGCGATTATTAAATGCGATTATTCATTGACTTTGAAAACATCCATTTATTGGAGAAAAAAATTGAACAGTATGTTTTTAACAGTAGATTACCCTGAACTTTAAGTATAATTCAACTGAAAAACCAAAAGAAAAAAAAAAGTAATAATAACAAATAATCGTTTTATTTCGATTACGTTGTTTTCGTAATCGTTGCAAGCCATAATCGTAATCCCGATTAAAATACGATGAATTGAGCAGCCCTAGTTAAAACCCAGTAAGAGTCACAGACCTGGTGGACTCAAATGTATTTGCTTTATGTGTTTGGCTCCAGTCTATTAGTTTACTTCCGGCACATAGTGACATCACTATGGAACACTCGCGCTCCTATTGGCTAGCGCTCCAACACATTGTACGTTATTTTGTAAAAGTATAGCTTCTATGACCAAGAATACATTTTGTATAATGTAACTGGATTTAGATGTACTCTCAGTAGATATCAAGCTTTACTTTCTGGGTTGTTGTATCAGACTCAACTCACGGAGCCCAAACACAGAAGGAGAATCCTGTCGAGTCCACCAAAGAAAAAGTAATCAATGTGTAAATCCGGTTCTTCTTTATGGGAATGAACACGTGACAGGAAATGTATTTCAGACCCCCACTGCAGTTATTAAGATAAATGTGAACTAACGTCGTCTCTTCCCCCCACAGTGACTCACGTGAGGGAGCAGATCGAAGCCAAGATCGAGCAAGAAGTCAAAGGTAAGGCCACGTCAGATTCCTCACCTTCCTGGATAAAAAGCTCCAGATAGTTATCACACCTGAGCATTAGGTGTAGACATTCAGGACAGTTTGACTAGATTTCTCTTTATAAAGATTTATTTCAAAAGTGGTCTGTCGGCAGGGAACTTCAAACCAAGCTTTCAGGTGACGTTTAAAGCGAATAAAATGTTGAGAAGTGGAGATAAAAGCCGATGCATGTTTAAAGGGTTATTTGGATTATAGTCGGCCTGCATCCACAGACTGCTTTCAGAGTTTCCTAACATGTCCTTAAGTTGAACTGTCCCTTCTTTAAAGGTCTTCCACAGTAGCATGTCCTCTTCATGTGTTTTGATATAAACTCTGTATTCTTCTTCCTGTTCTTGTTCTGATCATGTGTCATGGTTCCCCCCAGGAGAGCCCTGATCAAACTTGCTTGTTCCAGTTTCTTTTGACTCCTTTGCGTTTTGCATCCAAAGAAACGTTTCTCTTTTTGGCATGAAGGTTCTTCTGATCTTTTCCCAGAGAAAGGCGCAGGGCGCGTATCTTTTAAGGCTTCCGGACTTGCTTTGCCCTTTAAAAGATATGGAGGTTCACTGCATCTGGAACTGACACCGTCCTCCTGCAAAATATTTCTTAGCCTGGCTTGCAGATAGTGGGATGTGATTCCTGTGGTTTGCAATAAATAACACCAGTGAACTATATTAGTTCGAATAAACGCCTTCTCACCCAATTTTACAGCTTCATTTGTTTAAGGTTTTGGAATATAAGATATGTGAGAGCTTTGCCTCGCACACATACCTGTGCATTTATTTCCTCACAAGTTTAAGGATTAGAAAGGGCGTTTATTCTCCTGTCTGCAAGTCAGGTAAGGAACATTCTAGTATAAAGCCAAAGCAACTATCAAAAAGTAAAAAAACTATCGAATGTAAGCAGCCAGTCTTGGAAAGAAACTGCTTTTTAATGATAATAAAATAATTTATGTTTTGAAGAAATTTCCACAGACGAAGGATCAAAACTTCCTGAAGGTTTCTAATAAAAAGAATCAAGTCTTGCGTTTATTCGAACAAATATGGTGAGTGAAATTATTTCTTATGGCATTGTGACTCCCAGCATGCATTTAATATTTCCATTACTGATTCATTCAAATCCTTTTCTCTCGTTTTGCCCCCCGAGGCCGCTGTTCTGACCGATGTGTTTATATTTGCAGAGCTGTTTTATCACAAAGAGGGAACCCAGCAGAGCGGCGGCGAACTCACCGCCACCCGGCAACTGAGAGGAGCCTTCTCCGACACAGAAGACTTCCCCGATCAGGGCATGGTGTCGGCCAACCGCTGCTCCAGCAGAACCTCCTCCATTAGCTCCTGGGCGGAGAACATCAAACCTTCATTCACCAAAAAACTTAAATTCCAATCAGTCCTAGAGGGAGAACCGGTAGAGTTAAGGTGTAAGCTGGTTGCATGTCCTCAACCCACCATCCTTTGGTTTCATAATAATAAATCTATCCCTAAAGATCGTAGGCGTAGGGTCGATACTGAGAGCAAAATGCACTTGCACACGACCAGTTTGGTTATCGATTGTATCAGAGAGAAGGACTCGGGCAGTTATAAGGTAATGGCGATTAACTCAGAGGGTTCTGCCGAGTCCACAGCATCACTTCTAGTGTCGCTGAGGGAAGAGCAGTCTGCTAACTACCTGGGCTTTGTTAAACGTTCTGCACAAGCCCATGAAAGTGCAGAAACCATGGCCGAGCAGAGGAAAGAGAGGAAGTTCAGGGTGGACCTCAGGTGCGTTGGGTCTCCGTTTGACAAGATGTCTAAAGTTCATCAGAGGCGTTCTCGCTCTGTGGACTCTCTGGTGCGTACAGTTTACTTCAAATCTGGTTCTCATACGAAAGAAAAAGAGGTAACAGAGAAAGAGTCCAAACGTTTGGAGACCGCCTCAGAGCGCGCCCCGTCTCCTCCCCCAATGTTTGACAGGTCCGAGCGTTTTAACGATCGGTTCAGCGATATCTACTGTGACCGGCGCACCGGGGCCAGGTTCAGTGACAAGTTCAGTGACAGATGCAGCGACAGGTACAGCGACAGGTTCAGTGACACAGAGAGTCTTCACAACGAGGTGAGGACTAAACTTACAACGCTCCAAAAAGCTGTGAAGCAGAAGAAGAGGCTTTCTATCTCCACCATGTCCTCTTCTGAGTTTGAGTCAGAGTCAGTCGCCAGCGAGTCGAGTTACGCCGACTACGTAGAGAGGCTCAGGGTGAAACCGGCCTCTCTGCCCGATGTTCAGCAATTCAACCGACCCTTCGATTCGGGGGAGGGTCCGAGTGAGTTTAAAAGTAGAAGCTCAAGCAGGGATCCGTCGAAGCCGCGTTCAATGCATTCATTTGAGCCTCAAACCAGAACCAGGGCCATTCAGATCATGAAAGGTGAGCTGTTGGATACCATGGTGTCAGAAAGGAGATCAGGTGACACACGGCAGGGTAAAAAGGTTGAGAGGTTTTTGGAATCGCGGGCAGAAGCTAGATACAAGCAAATGTTAAGTGAACGTCACGGCGTAGTTACGGAGGAAAATATGGAGTCAACAAAGGTCGAGCAACGTAACCCTGAAGTCCAATACTCTGAAGGGTTAGCGCTCCCTGGAACATCCACGTACACCGAAAGCAGTGGATCTGTTGATCTGACAAAAACAGACACATCTAGCAGGGAGAAGTTCCTTAGTGGAGAACCATCCGCTGAAGATAGATCCACAACGGAAACAGGTGAGCAATATGAAGAGGAGGGTGAAGGGGGGCCTTTGAGGGCTCACTATGAGAAGAGCCTGGATGAAGAGAGGATGCAGTGTGAGGAAAAGCTCCTGGCCCTGCGGATCAGGAAATGGCAGAAAGGGAGTATGATGGCAGACGAGGAGACGCTTCACCCTGAAACTGTTCTGCCAACCCCTGCACAGATGCAGTACATGGAGCCAGCGGGGCACATTCACACCCAACAGGAAGCGACACAATCAGTAACTGTAGAAAGTGGAACCTCATCTTTCCATAAATCACCCAGAGTTAAGGCAAGGATGGTAGATCCTGAAGCTACAGCACCCAGATCACCTCAAGTAAAAGCCAGAGGAGACGAAGCAGCAATGTGTGCCACAGCAGAAGCCGAATCAGAAGAAGTAGGAGCACACCTAATGCTGGCACCAACATCTCCCAGGATAAAAGCAAGAGCAGAAATGGAAGTGGAGTTGTCGACAAGAGCAAAAGCCCGGGCGGAGCACAGACTCGGAGAATCACCCAGGCTGAGGCAGGCCAAAACTACCAAAGAGAGGTTCCTTGGTACAGGTGCAACACCAGAAACAGGTGAGCAATATGAAGAGGAGTCTGGAGGGGAGTCTTTGAGGGAGCAGTATGAGAAGAGCCTGGACGCTGAGCGGATGCAGTGTGAGGAAAAACTCCTGGCCCTGCGGATCAGGAAATGGCAGCATGGTGTGCGAATGTTAGAGGAAGAGACACCTGAAACGGAGCTACCTGCAGAGACACAGCACATGGAGCCTGAAGGGCACATGAACCCCCATCTGGAGGCAGTGGATAAGAGAGTGACTGTAGAACATGCTGACATGTCGGCACCAAAGTCCCCTAAACAGAGCCCAGACGAAACCTCTGCCCCCTCGCCTAAAGCCAGAATGAAATCCAGACAAGGAGAGTTGGAAATTGAGGCTTCAATGGCACAAAAATCTCCCAGAATAAAAGGAAGAGCCGTAGAAGTAGGAGCATCACCAAGAACTAAAGTCAGAGCAGAGAAGATGTTGTTTGAGAGGACAACAGAAGAACGTGAGCTCCAGCTGTCGAGAGAGAACTTATCCGAGCTGAAGAGTGAAAGTGAGAAGTTTGTCAGTGAAGAGGAGGCTCTGAATCAGCGGATAATGAAGTGGCAGGAGAACGTTTTGATGGAACAAGAGGAAGTTGCCAAGCCGGAGTCCGACTGGGAGGAGGGTTACTCTAAGATCCAGGCGGAGAAGACCACAGACGTCGGAAGGGAATCAGCTCCTCAACCTGAAGTGGTCCGAAGCAGGAAAACAGCCAAAGAGAAGTTCCTCCAGAGCGAGACGGTTCCCGCCGGTTTCCAAGATCAGCTGGCTGAGAGTCTGCAGTGGCCGCCTGCTGAGGCTCTGACTACAGAGGGCCGGGAGACCAGGCTGCAAAGGGATAGTGAATACTTTGTTAGTGAGGAGGAAGCACTTGCTCAGCGCATCCTGAAGTGGCAACAGGATGGTGTTGAGCAAGAGGAGGTAGCTGAACTGGAGTCCGAGTGGTCTTTGGACAATCAAGGAAAACAGCCTGGCTCTGGGATGCTGTCCCATGGTGTCCTTTCTCATTCAAGTGAACTTCCACCTCCAACTCTTGGTGGTGGAGCCTCGTCAACAACGACTGCCGGGTACGAGCAAGCTACTATTGGTGAGTCTTCTTCCATAAGAAGTCTGCCACTCCAGCCCAAAGGAGATGATAGAATGGGTCTGGGAGCTTCACCAGTTCAGAGTTACTCTCCAACCCAAACTGCTACTGTGCCATTTGAGAGCCCAGATAAGCCTTCAGGAGAGTTTTCACCACTCGGGAGACGCTTTCCACAGGAGGAAGTGGGAAAAGATGCAGAGATGAGTCGGAGCAGGCAGGAATATGCAATGACTGCAGATAAATCCATCAGCAAACGTTTCCAGTCAGATGTAAAAGAGGAGAGGGCGATGAGAGAGGAGACGGGAACTAACAGAGAGAGCAGCGATCGGAGACAACAGAAGGATTTTGCAGGTGTTAAAAGAGAGGAAGTAAGCAGAGAGTCCATCAGGTCAAAACAGGGTGGAGACATGAGTGAAGAAAGCATTGAACTCGGAGCTATCAAGAAGGACGAGAGGAGAGTCCAAGATGAGGCAGATTTGAAAGAGTTTAATAGGATGAAGGAAAGGGAAACAAGTGCCGGAGGATCCCGTCCAGTATTTGTGAAAAAAATATCTTCGGCTCAAGT